TTATAACTGGTTTTTAACTTTGATTGAATTTTATTTTACTATTTGAAGAGATTTCCAAATGTAGTACTTATATTACAAATAAATGTGGTAATTTCTAAAAACACGCCGCCATTAGTTGCCCCTCAGATTTGCCATGTGTAAATATAGTAAGCATATCGAGTGCCTCCCCCCAACAATTTGGCACAAGGACGAATTCCCCCTAACAGTAGCAGGATTGCAAAACCTTAGAGAAAGCAACGATATAGTGTAATTATTAATATTTCCCACGGGAAAATTGCCTGTGCACTACATGGCTTCCAGGCCAAATCGCAGCACAATGTTGCAAAATTATCACACATTACAGGAGGCAACGATTTTTGAAATTGTCAGACTATATTTCATGTTCTCCACCTTGGCACAAGGATGAATTGCCCCCCACAGTAGCATAATTATCCCACATTGAAGGAGGCAACCGCTTTTTTTATCGATTAGAATAGTCACAAAGCAACTGTAATTGGATTGTTCCACCTCAGCAAAAGAACAAATCTTCGCCCCGTTTGCCACCAAACCACCATTTTTTTTTGTGGTCGTCTTGCAACAACAAGCATTGTTTTCACATGAAACGTTGACGATGTACTCACCTATGTCTTGTTATTGATGATTCTAGACGACAAACGGTTTCTTTCCACTAAACGTTGCTATTGAACTCCTCTACGTTTTGTTATGCTACACCAGCAGACGACAAAGGGTGAGAGTAAACATAAACAACGGCGTTCTGCAAAGTTTCTCATACCGCGTATTCGCCCCACATTTTACCCCCACCCTCCTCACAACCCACCTTTATACGCACGTCATAGGGTACCCCCTAACCCCGACAAGGCCACTTTAAATACTCATTTCGCACCCTAAAATACGTTTGCGCAACCTATAAATATATGTACAAGAATCAGGGGACCTCCGCGAACAATAATCTGCAACAATAACCCACACTTCCACAGGGGGACCTCTTCTCCATATTTACCACCAAATCTAGACACTAAATTTTGGAAATTAACACTGTAATAACTAAAGTTCATTTCATTCTTATTTTAAGCGCATTTTAAGTTGTATAATAATACTACCGCTATATCTACATTTTTATCTTATGTTTACAGTCCTTCAAGAACTGCCACAAGAACAAACTGTACTAAAAATGTTCAAGTGACTGAAGCTCCGACCAGCCCTAGATTTTACACCTGGAAGTACAGCCAGTACAGCCGTGAAGTGTTTAAGGCTGAAGAACTGTAACATTAATCTGGTCTGACAGCTTTTGAGCTGTGGATGCTCCATGTCTAATTTCACAATGGAGCTACCATGGAGTTCATCCCAACATGAAATTAAATTCGAAATTAAGGAGGAAGTGATTGATCTTCATGATGAGATGGAGTACTCTTGTGATGATTCCTTGTGTGGAAGAGGAGGCGACGACAGCATCAGTAAAGTGAATAATCTTGAAATCAGCTATACCAAAGAGGTAATACTTTTTAATATCTATTAAGTTTAATTTCTCCTTATGTGGTACAGAGTAGAAAAAATTTGTGGATGTTATTTGTATCATTAGTCTGCTGCTATTGAAATGCATGTGCTAAATATTGTTACAGTCTTCTTCACACGAGGCTGAGCTGAAGGACATGCTCGATGATTCGTGCCATCCCGCTGTCATAGAGAACATAATGTCATCTTCCAGCAAGCGTAGAAAGCAGAGTCCTGCAGTTCAATGTTGTAATAGGTTAGTTACAACTAACGGCAAAAGATTCTATTATTGTAATTATTATTATTAGTATTATTATTAACTGACTGCATAACCCAGTCATGCAGTAGATTGTGCTCTTTTAAGTGCGTTGGCCCTACTTGGGTATCTTAAAGCAGTGCCTTTTACTTTTGTGCAGCACAGCCTCAGAATCTACTGGTCTACTGAAACCCACACCTTCCCAGCTGAGAGCTCTGTGGGAGCTGGACAATAAATGTGCTAATAAGTACATGGGAATGCCTCTGAGGCAGTGCTCTTCCACAGAGGCACCAGACCAGCCAGGTGAGCAGTATAATACAATTTATTTAACTTTTCGTTTAGTTAACTTCAATCTTTTCCACTTTCTTGAAACACATTTCTGAAAGGTGTTGCTTGCTGTTGCAGGTGCGGTTCCTCTACCTGTAGTAATAATGTCGATTCTTGAGCGACAGATCAAAGATATGTGGCGTAAACTAAGTACAGTACTGGAAATCTATCGTGATAATGATAACCCTGACCTTGGCTACCGCCTCCGAGTGAAACCTGACTTGCCGATCAAGTTAGTTTTCAAGCCTGCAGATCAGATAATGTTTGGATGGAAGGCCGTCTTCTCAGACATTGGTCCATCATCACACCTGTACCTGCGCAGTAACCTCAAAGAGCATAATCAGTACCTGGGAGGACCTGTTTCCTATTGCAACTGGGTGCTGTCTAAAGACGCGACTATAACTGTCAGGCAGATCTCGCATGGGTCTGCCAGACATCTAGTTCGGGTAGAAAGCAAATCACTGTCTGCTGGATCTGAGCTACTGTGGGATTACGGGGAAAAAATCCAACCTGTGTTTTCCAATGAGGGTTGGTTTGTACCCAAGGTATGAATGCCATCTTTGGATGAAGTTACAGCTGAATATCATTTACAACTAGTCTAAATTCTTATTTTTTAATCTAAACCCTTAATTTTTTCAGTGCTGCTCCATATTGGCTTCCCTTCCCAAAAACGTCTGCATTGTTAAGAAGAATACATTGGAAGTGTTCCGTGAGCTCTGTGTCCTCTGTGGTAAACCATACAGGGCTGCTCGGAGGGACTGGACCACTCGCAAGTCTCAGAAAAAGGTACATTTTCTGAATGACCATGTCAACTTCCTCGGTACAGACTGGGATGGCCATGAGCTCTATGACCCTTCAGCTTACTCAGTTGATTACAAACGTGCGCTCATTGCAGCGGAACGTCTCAATAAGTTCATTCAAAGGTTGGAATCTGACTCTTGGCATGTAGTGCCAGCTTGTGTGGTGATTTCAATGGAGTAAGTATAGATTTAGGACTTTGCATGTTGTAAGCCTCATAAGTCTGAGTACGTTACAGAGATCACGATTAAAAAATTTGTTTGAGAAATAAATTTTGCTCTTTTTTCCAAGTGAGCGAGACAACCTTGACGCGGACTCTACAATGCAGTTATTTGTCGAGCGGTCAAAGTTTTTGAGAAGGCTTGGCTCAATAGTTGTTCGAGGTCATATGATTCCCTCTGTGGTCGAGCATTTGGACCCAATAAGACCATCTCCATGGCATGTAATCTTTACTCGTGATAACAAACCTAAGAGGACGTATTCACTTTCAAAAGAAGAGAAAGAGGCTTTGACCGCTGAAATTATAGATGCATCATTGCAAGATGTCATGATGGTTCTAAATATCAATGAAATGGAGAGTGATGAAACATCATAAAAAGATAGTGAAAGACATGTGAAATTACTTGAGCAATGAGCATGTTCAATAAAAATCCAAAGAACCATTCGCAGTATTTTTAATAACTTCCCTGCTCTTTCATAGAACTGAAATGGAAATATCTGGAGGAAAAGAACACTGAATTGATTTAATTTATCTCATTTAATGCAATTTAATTCATTTCATACACAACTTCATAAAGGGTTGCTTGATCATAGAGAGCTGGAGCGACCCATTTCTCGGGTCACGCAGTCAGGCCACTAGGAAAGGCTAGAATAAAATGCATCTACTTCATTTAATGCGTATATAAAACTGAGCTAGAATAAAATGCATATAAACAACAATTCATCAAGAGATGCTTTGCACCCACTGTTTTCGTTCCTTTACACTGACTCTTGACAACCCTTCAGCTATTCCTAGAGGGGTGAGATAAATTGACATCAGTATCTCGGAGTGGTGTGGCGTGTGGCCTGGCGTGCATTGCCCAGCACCACGGCCTCTACACCGTGCCCGTCACTCACACACCCGCCGCACGCACACACACACACACACAC